TCTGGTGACTCCAGCCCAACCCTCTCTAATGAACTTCCCGTGTGCATCCTATGCTACATTGCCACTTTGACACCTTAAAGACACCCCAAACTGAACATATCCTGATTTTTTTCTTTTTCAAGAACAGTTTCCTCTTCCAGGTTTGTTGTTGGCAATACCATAATCCTAAGTGTTCCTTGATTATTCTAGTCATTCTTGATAATTCTTTATACAAGAATTCTTGATTTCATACTTTTGAAAACACGCCCAGAATCTGACCACTTATAATTCCACTGCTATTTTACTTTCACCAACAGTGTCCTGTTTCATTTGAAGAGTTGTCTAAAAGTGAACAATAAATTATAGCTATCCCAGTAAAAGGTCCTCCAAGATTTCAACCTTCACCCTCACATCACCTCTTCAGCCTCATCAGAATCTTTCACTGGCAGAGCCCACTAGTATCCAGGCGTGCACTTGTATTTGGAACTTTATTCTAGTTTTATTTTGTTTGGAATGCTCTTCTCCAAGACACCTTTGTGCAAATTCCTCACTCCCTTCAAGTCTAATTCAAACGTTACGCATTCAGTGAGACTTCCTTGCTTAAAACACCAGTATTCTTATCCCTCGAGCCCACCAGCCCTGATCTTTTTTTTACTTTGTTCATTTGCATGTGTGTCTTTTGCACCTTTAAGTACACTACTGAATGTTATTTATCAATTCACTTTATGCAAGTCATTATCTGTGTCCCTTCACCAGAAGTTTAAAGTCTATATAAATGTCACCAGCCCAGAACTTGCTCCTGAATCCTGCTCATATAAATGACTACTTGACACAGCTAACTAGTTAAGGAGCACCTCAAGCTCAACCTGTCCAAGAATGAACTCTTGAATCTCGTCTACGAAGGAGGTATGCAGAAGCTCCGTAAGAACAAGACTTTTTTTATTACTTAGCTCACTAATATATCTCCAGCAAGGTTTGGTGGTTTAGTGGATAAAGAGTTGTATTGACAACCCAAAGGCAAACAGTTTGAGTCCACTAGATGCCCTGAGAAAGCAAGCCAGTCAATCTCCTCCCATATCATATATGGCCCCTGAAAACCCACTGGAGGGTCAGCTACGAGTGGGTTCTGACTCCAAGGCAATGGCTGGCTGAATGTGTCCCAGGGAGTTCTGGTGGTATAGACTATAAGGAATTGCACTGCCAAGCTAATGGTGGATCCTCTCTGGGGTTTCAAATCTATTAGCAACTTCTCAAGAAAAAGATGTGCACTGTCCTGTCATATGATGTACAGCCTGGCAAATTCAGTGGGGGGTCAGCTGTGAGTTGGTCCCCAGTTGGTGGCTATGAGTTCTCCGTTTTTGGAATGCATGCCTTCTATATGTCAACTCAACTCATTGCCTTCAGATTAGAACTGACTATAGCTCACCCTCCAGCGGATTTTCTGAAGGCTGCAAATCACAATAATGCCCATTTTTCCTCCAAGGAGCTGCTGGTGGATTTGATCCTCCAGAGAAGCACTGTCTTCAAGTTAGCAGCAGAACTGACTATGGACCATGCACCAGGGTTCCCATTCCACATAAAAGACAACCAATCAATATTTGTTGAACCGACCCAAGGCTGATCCTCCAGTGATTTGTCATGGAAAGTAAATCACACAGAAGGAGTCTGACTGTCCTTCTCCCACGGAGCAGCTGGTGGATATGAACCATGTGCCTTTGGGACCACTCCTTGCCACTGGGCCACAACAGCTCCCTGTTGTGTGAATAATTGAACACATCAACACTAAAATAAAGGCCTCTGCCTTTACATTATATGACTTTAGTTTAAATGACCTTTTTAATTTTTATAATTTACTGTCTAGGTTCTTGTTATAATCCTATTTGAAGTACTTATTTGCAAAATAACAAATTGTGAGTCAGAAAAACCTCTCACTTGCTGGGGTGAGGATAAAAGACTAATAGACTAAGTGTGAAAACATCATAGTTAAATATGACTTATCATTTCAGAAACAGTGATCCAAATGAGAAATGTGCAGTGCTCTTCTTACCTTGTTGCCTTGTAATTACCTATGAACTCAAGTTCACTTTCAAAGCCTCCTAGTTTAGATACAAGCAAATCCCTTACCAATACTGCCACCTACTGACAGATCGGTGAAAATGCAGGAGTGTGAAACAATGCAGTCATATTTAAAAATAGTCACTAAAAGACCACATTTTCCTACATTATGTTAGCATGGAATTTACACTGCCGTTGTCAGAAAAGATTGTGTCCATGTACAGAATTACAATAATATTCTTCAGAAAAGAGCAAGTACCTCCAAAATATTATCCCACTTCCCCCCCCAATAAATACCATACACCCAGGTATACTTTTCACAGAAATTCCCTTAATAGTTAAAATAATTGAGTCTTAGGGAAAATACACTTCTCACTTTTATTTTCACTTATATACTGATAAATAAAAACAGAATTGCCCTGGGATTTAAAATTTACTAGAGGAACAATATAACCGGAGAAGCATCTGGGTTAGTAATTTGTTGTTGTAGGTGCTGTTGAGTGACTGGGATATTAATACTTCAGAGGAGCTTTGGTGGCCTAACAGGTAAGGAGTTGTGTTACCAATACTAAGGTATACACGTCAATACACGAGCTCCTCAAAGGGGAAAAAAATGGAAAATCTTCTTCCATGCAATTTATAGGCTCTGAAAACCCACTGGAGGTTAACTATAAATCTGTTCCAATTTCATGGCACATAACAGTGCAGAAGACCCCAGATGTGATGGATTGACACAGTAACTGGGGTAATTAATGAGGGTAGGTGTGTCAGAGACAGTGAGATTGGCTCAGGACAGAGCAGAGTTCAGAGCTACTGTGCGTAGAATTGTTATTAGTTGTCGTTGACTCTACAGCACATAACAACAATATTAAAAAACAATATTCAAATTCTAAATTGTCAAGTTTCTACTTTGTAAATTTAGAGGAAAAACATGTTTCTTGATTAATGGATTGATTTCATAATTTCTTTAATAATGGAATGCTGTTGAATGTCAATGAATTTGAGTGCTAAATTTTAAGAGGGACTCAGAATTGTATTTTTACTTACCAGGAGTTGGCATATTGTCATCATTGAAAATCTCTTGTGTTTTGCTTTTTTTATTTCCTACTAGCTGGCTAGTAAACATGGTGAAAATTGCCCAGCATATGTTCTAGGAAATGTTTTCTTTTACAACGGTCAATTCAATCCTATGCTGGTTTTGAAGTTGTGCAGGCCTAAACAATGCTAAGCACTTAATTTTGTTATTTTATATTGTATCTTGTGTTCATTAAATGAAACCATTAATAAAACATGATTTGAGAAATTATTACATATTTTTTAAAATCAGGAACAGTAAATGGTGTGTTTTGAAAAGTCCTAAAGATTACAAGTGAGCTTAAGGAAGATAGCAAAGGAGGGAAAGACGTTTATATCTCCCACATGCCTCCTCATTTTAAAAATTACACAGGAGCAAAAAACGTCATAGAAATGGCTTAGGATGGGGGGGGGAGCCCATTAGTAAATACGTGCACACATGCGATTAAAAGTAATAATTCCAAGAGAAGATAATTTAGAAAAATGCATTTAATTATAAAATTCTCTTTAAATTAAAAAAAAAAAGCAATGGCACTAATCACCACAAAGTTATTTAAGTGATCATATCCACAGGCTGCTCTTGTAATTCTATGCTAAAAATTTGCAACTGTTCTCATTAACAGCATTTTCTTTCCTAATTAGAGCGACATCAAGAGCATCTGAGAATGTGTCATTTCTCTGAAAGTACTACTAAAAGTATCATAACACAGTTTGTGCAGCATTCATTTACATTACCTTTTATTTACTACACTCTAAACTCATAAAATATTTAACATTTCTCTCTTACTCCATTCCTCTTATTTACGGTACAGAGATACATCTCCTGTCACAATATGGTTTGTGCATTAAAATCCCTGGGAGTAGTACTTTGCACAGCATCTTAATAAATTTATTCTGATTATTTAAATAAGTACATAAACAAAATCTTGTTCGTATGAGACTGTGTCTTACTCAGAAGAATAACTCTTCTGGCAGACTTATTTATGAGGTTTTTTTTCTTTAAAAAATCCCTCTTTAAGTAGAATACATTCTCCTGTCGTCACTGAATTCTACAATGATGCATATTTATAAAGCTAATAAGACAATCGGTAAAGCCAGCTATGACTTTCAAAATTCCATTTGGAAGAGTACAGCATACACTAAGCAACTTGGCTTTCACGCTCTTAATCCACATAGATACATTTTATTTATTCTTAGTATATAAGCATTTAATAGTTCAGTAATAATTGGCATTTTCTGACAGTTCTATTTCTTGATAGTGGATACAGTTCTGTGAACCTATGTCAGATGAACAGAAAAATATCCCAATCACCTCATACAAGATGTCAGAAAGGAGTGTGATCAAATGTTTCAGAGAGATGAATATTAACATCCCACAGTGACAGGAATACTGTTGAATTCAGTATACTTGCAGATATCCTGGCTTACCAAGCGGCCACCCTGGTATTACAAAGAAGTCCTTTCGGGAGAAGCAAATCTAATTGCTAAAAGGGAGACATGAGAAGAAAAGACAGGAAAGAGAAAGACGGAGCACAAATTATAGTATGTATGATTTTGGAGGGGGAAAAAGTAAGAGAGAAGATAATTTATTTTGAAATGTGCAAAAATGATGTCACATCTGGGCATATTTCACAAAATACATTTTCCAAAAGCCAATTACAACCTTTTCCTCTTTCTCCAAAGACACTGGTGTTCTGATAATAACAATATCAATAATAACAACGCCCGTAATTCTGGCAGCAGCACAAAGCTGAAAGTTTGTTAAGGCTCGGGTGTCACATTTTAATAGTGGAGTACATTTGAACAATAGTAGAGTCCTGTCATTTTTTTTTCTTTCCACTCTTGGTGCAGCAAGCATTAGTCAGTCGGTCCTTACGTTTATCAACAGCTTGTTAAGTTTTCTGTGATGGCTTTGACTTAATAACCCACTCCGCATGGGGGTTGAGCTGATATAAGTCCTTCATGTATGTGTCATCATCGAGGCAGCGCTCCCCTGTGAGACAGGGATTTTATCAGTTCCACACAATAAATACAATGCAATGCAGTTTTGAAACATTAACATAATAGTTTAAACTCTGAAGTCCTAGGTTTCAAAATATTTCTTATCTTCTCCTATTTCCCAAAATAAGATAGTTACATTTGACTCAAATATTCAAGAAGTCAATTTAGTAGTCTTTCTCTAAATTAATAGGTTTAAAATTAATTCACAATGTAGAAAATACTTTGAGTAATGTGTTTTGAAATGAGTTCTTAAAGGCTTTTTTATCTTTATTAAGAATGGCAACAGTTTTGAATCCACTTAAGCAAGAAATCACACTGCATATTAAATATAGAATACCAAAATGAAAAGTAAATTTATGTTAATATTTACTAATAGAGTTAAAAATTTCTAATTTAGTTAAGGTTTATTTGCACATGAAGAATGAACTTTCACATTCCGGCACTCAGCTTTCAATATTTACTGATTTTTTCTTGTTTGTTAAGAAATAACAAAAACATTTCTACAAAGCTTATCTTAAAATAATTTCAATTACTATTGTTTTCATTTCTAGCTTGACAATATAACCATTACCAGTTTCAAAAGTCAAACAAGAAAGAGACTGAAAGAAATGAGGTTAAATTTTCAAGAGCAAGAGATAAGATTTACTATGCTAATAATTTCAAGTGGGTAAAATAACACATAAGCCTTGGTAAAAATGAGTCCATTTCCTCTACTAAGATGATAGATAGATAGATAGATAGATAGATAGATAGATAGATAGATAGATAATAGAGATACAGAGATTATAGATAGATAGAGATGATAGATAAAACTAATATATTTATATATGTACAAATATGTGTAATTTAGTAGGAAATCAAGTAAGGTAAAAGTAATTTATGCTTGTACTAAAAATATGTAATATTGTACAAAAGCAAAAGTATTATATTGGCCTTAAATAAGACAATAATGTGACTTCAGTGTATGGAAGAGTAGTTTTTAAAAACTTGCATTGTTGCTGTTGTTGTTGTTGTTATGTGCTACTGAGTCACCTGCGACTCATAGTGACCCTATGTACAACAGCCCTAAACCCTGCTCTATCCTGTGCCAATCTTACTTCTCTGACACACCTATCCCCTTTATCCCAGTCACTAAATCAATCCATCTCATTGAGGGTCTTCCTCATTTGTACTGTCCCTCCACCCTCCCAAGCATGATGTCCCTCTCCAAAGACTGGC